TGGAGGATGACCAAGTGTAGTATTAGGAGATATAATCAGAGAGAGGTGACCAGGGGTCTGGTCACTCAGGACAGGAGTAGATCACACAGAAAAGCCTCCCCCACCTTTCTTCCTCTCCCTCCTCAAGCTTTTACTTTGTGCAGGATTCTGCGCCAAACATTCTAAATGCCAAGTATTTCTAAGGCCTTGGAACAACCCCATAAGATAGCTACCATTGTTGTTCCCAATTTACAGATGAAGAAATTGAATCTCAGAGTAGCTAAGAAACTAATGCAAGGCCACCCAGAAACCAAGTGAGCAAGAATTTGAATATAGCTCTGATTCTTGGTTCCAAAGCTCAAAATCCTCTCCACTGCCCCTGCACATTCCCTTCTTTAAAAAAAAAAATTATTTGGCTGTGTTAGGTCTTAGTTGCATGCGGGATCGTTAGTTGCAGCTTGTGGGACCTAGTTCCCTGACCAGGGACTAAACCTGGGCCCCCGTGCTTTGGGAGCTCAGAGTCTTAGCCACTGGACGACCCGAGAAGTCCCTTCTTCTATTTTTTTTTTTTAACATCTAAGGAAGCATTCTATTCAAACCTTGCAAAATGCTCTTTTTTACTTACTAGCATGTGTGGAAGAATAAGACATACTCTTTGACAAAACGTCTTAAGAGAGACAGTCCCAGGCTGTTACAGCTCCAAATGAACAAAGCTGTGATGGAGGAGACTTGGGCATTGTGGGAACTCAGAGGAGTCACCTGCCCCCATTAAGGCCAAGGAAGGAAGAGTAAATCAAGGAGGGCTTCCTGGAGGTTGCCCCACTGTCTAAACCCTTAGGCTGAGGAGGAGCAAGCTAGGTGAAGTTGCAGGAAGTGCATTCCTGATGGGGGAAACAGCATATGCAAAGGTCAGGGGAGAATGTGGACTCTGCACATGGAGTCAGGACCCCTGGTTTCTCCTCTTAGCTCTCTGAGCCTGCCTTTCAGTCTGACAGGTCCATTCAAAGAGATGGGGCCACTTTTCCTTGCAAACACTGGCACCTCAGGAGGCTGCATTCCGCCTTCCAGAATTCATCATAGCTGGCATTTAAAAATCACTTACTGTGCCCTTGCTCATTGGAGCTCTGCCCTTGTCAGCTCGCTGGGAATCTCAGCTTCACGGAGCTGAGCCCCCTTTGTTCTGCCTGAGCCCCCTGGGTCCCCGGGATCCTCACCATTTGCATGTGTCCCAGGCAGGTGCAGGTGGGCAGAAATGGATGAATCTCTTTAGAAAACGTTCCCCGGGAGACTCCAGTTAGGAACAGGAGTAGCTCATTATCTCTGGGGATAATAAGCCAGCAGTGAGAATTAATTAATAGCTCATCACGGCAGAAATAAAGGTTTCAGAGTAAGGGTTAAGGATCTGGGATGATTCTTGCTCCCTGTCCCCTGCCTTACACACACACACACTCAGGCACACACACAAGCACAGTGAGGCACACGCGCACACACAGCCCCTTCCTCAGCCGTTACTATAGAGACCTCCTTCCTGCCACCCTCATGAGCATTTACAAACCAAGACTGCACAGATGGTGGCCTCAGCGGGCCCGCTGTTCTCTCTTCTAAGGACAGGCTCTGGAGCCCCGAGGATTAAGGAAACAGGGCTACTCTGGACAACATCCGCCTGGGGCCCCGAAACCTGACCCTGAAGCCCAGGCAGGGGGAGATTAATGGAAGCCTTTATCCAGAAGGGACAGTGTGCACAAACAGGACCACACACAGGTCACCCTCTCCACCTGAGGCCACCGGGGAATCCCTCATGAAGGTCTCATTCCGCCCCCATCCCCTCAAGGGAGAATAACCCCAAAGGTCAGGCAGTTTAAACTTCAGACCCTGTGACAGAGGGAAACAGCTTGCTGTGTGTGTCCTGGAAACTACTGCAATAATATTACCTAGGGTTTCCTGAGCATCTATTGTGTGTCAAACACTGCACACTTTATATATAATAAATGCATGATGTGTGTGTGCGTGCTTAGTCACTCAGTCATGTCCAACTCTTTGTGACCCCATGGACTGTAACCTGCCAGGCTTCTCTGTCCATGGGATTTCCCAGGCGAGAATACTAGAGTGGGTTGCCATTTCCTTCTCCAGGGAATCTTAACAACCCAGCAATCAAACTGGCATCTCCTGCATTGACAGGTAGTTCTTTACAACTGAGCCACCTGGGAAGTCCAATCACAATGATACTAGTGCTCATTTATCTGTTATTAACTATATGCTTAGAGCTTTATAAGGGCCAGGATCTTGCCCATTTGTTATTCTTTTAAAAAAAAATTTATTTATTTGCATTGGGTTTTAGTTGCAGCACATGGGATCTTCTGTCGTGGTGCACAGACTCTGTAGTTGGGGCACACAGGCTTCAGGGCGTGTGGGCTCTGCTGCTCCGCTGCACGTGGGACCCGAGCTCTCTGACCAGAGACTGAACTTGTGTCCTCTGCATTGCGAGGCAGATTCTTAACCACTGGGCCAGCTGATCTTGCCCATTTTCACCCCAGTGTGTATTTTCCAGTGCTCAGAATTTATAGCCATTAAGTGAATGAATGAATGATCGAATTTTCTCCTCTCAGCCACCCTGCTGCATAATTACTGAATCGCCTTTTTTCAGAAGTGGAAACTGAGGCTCAGAGAAGTGGAGAGATCCTTCCAAGGACACCGAGGAAGTAGGGAGCAAAGGAGGGACCTGAAGGGAGGTCTTCCTATTGTAGAGACCCCCTGCCACTCATTTTGAGGAGGCCCAGAGAGGGAAAGGAGCTTTCTCCAGCTCACACAGTATGTCAGGACAGCATCCAGGACTAGAATCCAGCTTTCCCCGTCCTCTCTCAGGTGCTCTTTTCCTTGGCTCTCCCATAGTTCTTTGTAGTCCTAGCACTAAATACAACATCTGGAAAACAGTGGGCTACAATAGATATTTGTGAGGGATGCTGTGGGCCTTCCAGAACTTGCCAGAACCCTTCTCAGGTGGTTAGCTGCTCTGATCTCACATCCTTGCCTTCCAGGTGGCCAGAACTTGGAGTTTTGTCCCTGTCTGAAAGATGAGGGGAGAGGGAAGCACAGAGCCACTAGATGGCTAGCTCATGGTCACACCCGAGGGTGACGCTGGGGCTGGATGTCTCCACCATATGTCATCTTGCCATTCCTTTGAATGGCTCCTCTCTTGGTATCCTCCTGTGTTCAAAACCAATTTTCTATTTATTGAGCACCTGGTAGTTGTGGGATCTTTCTGCTTCATCTCATCCTCATGTTAACCTACCAAGCTCTCTGCTCGTAGCCTCTTTTCCCAAAGATAGAGGCAGACATAGAGGTTGAGACACTTGCCCAAGCGCACAGGGCAGGGAAGAAGGGAGAGCTGCCGTTTGGATCCAGAGTCCACCTGCATGGCCACATTCTCTGGTTGCTGTTTGTGTCTGGAGTGGGACCAGCCCCCAGTCTCTGAAGGGGGGTTCTTGGGCTGCTGAGTCGAGCTGTATAGCCCAGTCAGTAAAGACCTGGTTTCCACTTCAGCCCTGAGTCCTGGAAAGACCCTGAAGTATGCTGTCTTCTCCTTTCTCAGCTTTTGAACATGTTTCAGAAACTGTATGGAAAAAATTTCCCATACAGCCCTCCCCACAACTGCCCTTGCTCTAACTGCCTGACCTAGCGTCCTAGTGACCGTGGAGGAGGGGACAGGAACAGAATTCCTGACTGCCACAGTGGTGGAGGGGAGTGCACCAAAGCTGAGGCAAAAGAAGAGATAAGCATGTTTCAGGAGGCCCCTCCGTGCTATCTGTGCAGGAAAACACAAGGGTTGACCATTCAGAGGGTGCAAAGGCCTGGAGCGGAAACCAGCCCTGGAGAAACTGAGAGCAGGCCAGATCCATGCCCTCCCGTCCACTGAAATCCCGGGTCATTCCCTGTGGTCCATGACAGAGTAGGTCTGTGGAGCCTCAAACTCTGTAATGAGGCTGAGGATTCAAACCCGCAGCAGAGCCCAGTACACAGCAGGGGCTCAACTAATGCTTGTTGATGAAAGACTGAACAAAGCAAAGAACTGGAAGGAACTTAAGAGATCAGCTAGTTGAAGAATGGAAAGCTCAAATGCCCACAGGAGTGTTTCACGTTGAAAACCTCTGATTTGGGCTCTTTTAAAAAGAATTATTCAGAGAAATGAACTTCAGTGGCAGCCAACTCGCCATGAGGTCCCTTATCCAATCCCTTCATTTTATCTATGGAAGAAACTGAATTCAGAGCCATTGAATGACATTTGGAAGGTCTCACAGACCATAACTGAAAGCTGGAACCATGATGAATAGCTTCCTTTTACTGAATGCTTACTATGTGCCTCCCATACATTCTCTCAATGATACTTAAAATCCCCATGAATAGAAACTGGGATTTTCCAACTTGCTTTTTAATTGATGGGGAATCAGAGGCTCAGAGTGGTTAAGGGAGAGTCACACAACGCTAAATGGAAGCAATGGGATTAGAACCTGTCTATCCACAACTGAATCTGTATACACTCCCTTCAAGAGCGTATTTTCCATATTTTCCATACAGAAGGAAACCGAAACTCAGCGGAGGGTGGGTGGGAGGTGGGGGTTTGTGTGTGATTCAGTACAGTCAACCGCCATCGAACAGTTCCGTGAGACCACGAATTTTAGGAATCAAACCCATTGATCTGATTCGCGCCCCCAAACTCGGAAATACTCAAGCAAAAGGCTAGGGTTCCCCACCCTCACCGCTAGCGCGCTGGCCCTCCTCCCTTACAGTAGTTTGTACACAGTAGGCGCTTAATGAGCGCGTTGATGACAATTATGGAGGCAAAGGTGAGGTTGCTGAAGTAAGAAGGTCCTGCTTCCCTGCCCTGCCTGCTCAACCTCTCGGGGCCTGCCCAGCCCCCAGCCCCCGCGCACTCTGGAGCTCTCCCACAGCAATTACGGTAATTAGCTCCGAACGGCAGGCGGGGGAGGGAGGACGGAGGGAGGCGGACTTTGGCCCAAACTGACCTGCTTCCCGGCGGACGCTCAGATTGGTCTGCGCCAGGCACGTGACACCCGCCACGGACTTGTTGCTGGGCATCCCGGCGTTGCCAAGGCAACGCCTGCCGCGTGTCCTCTCTGCCAAGAGCCAGGGAGAAGTGGCTGTGCTGGGGGTCTCGAGACTCACAGGAGGCGAGGAGCGGGGATCCGAAGAGCGAGGCGAGCTACCTCTCTCCCCCAGCTCTCTCCAGGCCCAGTCCTACCCCTACCTCCCCGCAGCCCAGTCGCCCTTAGGCTCCTGGGAACGCGTCGTCTATAAAGATGGACCCAGCAGTTTCAAGGTCGCAGATGGAGCCAGGGGACACGCAGAACCCTTGCCACGGACTCCCCCATGCGCAGACAGGGTATATAGGCAGAATGGAGAGGCACAGATCCTGCATTAACAAGCGCACAGTTGCTGAAAGCCCTCCAGCCTCATAGCCTGTATTCAGAGGGGTGACACCAGACAAGGCAGAGATGAGACGTCTCTGTGCCCCCAATCATTATTCTCATCACAGGAGCCCGTGCACCTGACGACTCCCACCTGGAGGGCCTCAGCTAAGCATATCACCTGCATCTCATCCTCATTACCTGCCCATATTAATCCCATTTTACAGATGAAGAAACTGAGGCTCCGAATGGGGCAAACATCTAGCCAGGAGGCAGGGACTCCATCCTTCAAGGGTGTGCATATTAAAGCCCATATAATTCTTCACTTTATAAAATTAGGCTAATGATAACAATAAAAGTAGTAATAATGATAGTGTATTAGCCATTGTTGTGTAACAAATTACCCCAAACTTAGTGGCTGAGAACAACAATATGTATCATCTCACAGTGTCCGTGGGTCAGAAATTTGCATGTGACTTGGCTGGGTTCTCTGCCTTAGAGGCTTTCCCGCTGAATTCAAGGTGTTGTGCAGGACTGTGGTCTCATCTGAGATTTGACTGGGGAAGGATCCACTTCTAATTCATGTTGTTATGGGCAAAACTCAGTTCCTAGAAGGCTGTTGACTGGAGGTGGCTGTCAGTTCTTTGCCGTGTGGGTCTCTGCAACACAGTTGATTGCTTCATTAAAGCACATTAGCCCAGGAGACAAGAAACAGTTTGCTAGCAAGATGGGAAGCCAGAGTCTTTTATAGTATAACCTAATCACGGAGATGACATCTCATTACTTTATGTGTGTGTATACTTATTATGGTAAAATATATGCAACACAAAATTTGCCTTTTTAACCAGTTTAAGTGTACATTTCAGTGGCATTTAGTACATTCAAAATGTGGTACAGCCACCACCACTATTTCTAGAACTTTCTTATCACCCCCAAACAGAAGCAAAAGCTCCCCATTTACCTTTCTCCTTAGTCCCTACTGAGGAGAAACCCTAACCTCTAATCTACTTTCTGTCTCTATTAATTTGACTATTATAGGAACCTATGTATAATAAATGGAATCCTACAATATTCTTTATTGTCTGGTTTATTTTACTTAGCATAATGTTTTCAAGGTTCATCCCTGTTGTAGTGTGTGTTAGAATTCCTTCTTTCGAAAAAGCTGAATAATATTCCATTTTAAGGGATGGCTCACATTTTGTCTATCCATTCATCTCTCAGTGTACACTTGGGTTGCTTCCACCTTTTGACTATTGTGAGTAATGCTGCCAGGAACATGTGAAAATATGTCTTTGAGATTCTGCTTTCAGTTCTTTTGGATATATACCCAGAAGTAGGACTGCTGAATCACCTGGTAATTCTATTTTTAGCATTTTTGAAGAACCTACATACTGTGCATACAGTTTTCCACAGAGGCTTTACCATTTTATATTACCACCAACAGAGCACAAGGGGCCCAACTTCTCTACATCCTTGCCAACTTGGGCTATTTTCTTTCTTTTTTGAGGGGAGATTAATTTTATTATTTATTTGTACTTTATTTTTTGGCTGCACCATGTGGCAAAGGGATTTTAATTCCCCAACCATGTGTAGAACTTGTGTCCCCTGCAGTGGAAGTGTAGAGTCTTAACCACTGAACAGCTAGGGAAGGCTCTGCTTGCTATTTACTTTTCTTTCTTTTTTTTTTTTAATGCTAATGAGTGTGGCAGTTGGGTGCATTTTGCATCAAGGTCTTGCCAGGTGAATTTGAAAGGCTTGAAGGACAAAGAGTGATTAAGGACAGGGAGACTCAAACAATCAACGTATTGGTCATAAGGTAGGCATTATAAGTTCACCCCAAAGCTTTAGGGTCATGTGGAAGGATACCAAGATGATTATGGGATAAATGGCAGAGAGGAAAGCTGTTGGAAAAGTCTGTTGGAGTGGTATGATATTGTGATTTATTTAAAAAATTAAAAAAAAATTTTTGGCTGTGCCGCTGGCATGTGGGATCTTATTTCCTTGACTAAGGATCAGATCTGCTCTCCTTGCATTGGGTTAGCACTGAGTCCTAACCCCTGGACAGCCAGAGAAGTCCTGATATTCTGATTTATCATAAGATAGATACAGATATCTACTGGTCTGTATAGTCAAAGCTATGGTGTTTTGAACTGTGGTGTTGGAGAAGACTCTTGAGAGTCCCTTGGACTGCAAGGAGATCAAACCAGTCAATCCTAAAGGAAATTAACCGTGAATATTCATTGGAAGGACTGATGCTAAAGCTGAAGCTCCAGTACTTTGGCCACCTGATTCGAAGAGCTGACTTGTTGGAAAAGACCCTGATGCTGGGAAAGATTGAGGGCAGGAGGAGAAGGGGATGACAGAGGATGAGATGGTTGGATGGCATCACCAACTCAATGGACATGAGTTTCAGCAAGCTCTGGGAGATGGTGAAGGACCGGAAGGCCTGACATACTGCAGTCCATGGGGTCACAAAGAGTTGGACACGACTGAGCGACTGAACAACAATAACAGGTACAGACATAGATACATTTGGTCTTTCCCCCTGTTCCTGGCACAGAGCTGCTAAAACCCTTGGAATTTCCTAAATGGTAAGAGCAATTAAAGGTGAAATGGGTGTTATTCCAGTAGCCAACAATTTTATCAGTTTTGCCTACATAATGAAACCTCCATAAAAATCTCTATGAGTCTGGAGAACTTGCAGGTTGATGACTACGTGGAGATGCTGGGCGGGCAGCACACCGCAGAGAGGGCACAGAAGTCCGTCCCCTCCTCCATACCTTGCCCTGTGCATCTCCTTCATCTGACTGTTGCATTTTTTCATAATACATGTGTCATCTAGTAAGTAAACTAAGCGAAACAGTTCCCTGAGTTCTGTGAGTCACTCTAGCAAATTACCTAACCTGAAAAAGGCATTGAGGGGGCCTTATTTATAAGCTGGTCAATCAGAGGCCCAGGTGATAATGGCCAGGACTTTCGATTAGCATCTGAAGGCAGAGGGCAGTCTTTTGGGATTGGGTCCTCAACCTGTGGGGTCTGATGCTATCTCAGGGTTTGTGTCAGAGTTAAGTTGAATTCAGGGCACCCAACTGGTCTCTGAGGACCATTTTGTGTGTGGTAAAATCTGCACATTTTGGTGTCAGAATTGAAGTATTAAGAGCAGTCCTGGAGAGGAAACACAGGAGTTCTTCCTTCCAGGTGGAGTTTCAATGGAGGAGCTCTGGTTGCCAGCAACAGAAGCCACACCAGTGAGCCCCACAGAAGAAATGGGTTGTTCACAGGGTTGGCTGAATATAGGACCCAGAGCAGTTCTGGGGATCTGCGGAGCAGGAATCAATGGATGTCCCCTTGACGGAGCTTTGGTCACCATGGTTGACTGAATAATGCAGCAAAGGTATTATTCATCCTGACCTCCTCCCACTCAGGGGAAAATTCTGAGAAATTTCTGCTAATTGGCTCAGATTCATGAAACTGTCCCCTGCTTGAGTGGGATGTGTGGATTGACAGCCCATCCAAGACCCAACATCTAGGGAAGGAAGTGTTCCCCAGCAGTAAATCTGGGTGCTGTGAAAAAATGAAAGTGTTAGTTGCTCAGTCATGTCCAATTCTTTGCAACTCCATGAATTATAGCTCTCCAGGTTTCTCTGTCCATGGAATTCTCCAGGCAAGAATACCGGAGTGGGTTGCATTCCCTTCTCTAGGGGATCTTCCCAACCCAGGGATCAAACCCAGGTCTCTCTCTTTGGAGGCAGATTCTTCACCATCTGAACCACCAGGGAAGCCCTAAAAATCCCACCAGTTCGTTATAAACAGTGCCTCAGGAACCCAGGCACTGGGACAAAGAGGAATGAGCTGACCTTCGTCCAGGAGAAAAGTGTCTGTAGTCAGAGTCACCCAAGTCATACAGTCTTACAAGGTTGATTCTGTTCTTCCCCTGCTCTAAGCTCTTCCATTGCTGCCTATTGCCCTCAGGATAAACTCCATGCCTCAGTTTGCCCATCTGCAAAACAGAGCTATTGTTCTTTTTAATAGAATCAGCCTCCTCAGGATACAGTGAGAATAAAATGAGTTACCATAGGGAGGGCGCATAAACAGTGTCAGGCATGCAGTCACCACTTAAGAAATGAGAGTGACCATGATGATAATTAAAGGCTTCCCTGGTGATTCAGTGCTAAAGAACCCACCTGCCAGTTCAGGAGACCCGGGTTCGATCCCTGGATTGGGAAGATCCCCTGAAGAATGGAATGGCTACCCACTACAGTATTCTTGCCTGGAGAATCCCATGGACAGAGTAGTCTGGCAGACTAACAGGCCATGGGGTCCCAAAGAGTTGGATATGACTGGGTGACTAAGCATGTATGCATGTGATGTTTATTATCTTTATGATGAATATTATAGTCTTTGGTGAGCCTTCACATCCCCCCTCAAACACCTCCAGAGATTCTGATATGATTTCCTTCTGCTCAAAAAACTCCCATTGTGCCTCAGAAACTATTTCTGCTTCTGTGAAATGGACACAGTGACACGAAACCCCCCCTCACCCCCCACCAACAGGTTTGTTGTTGTTCAGTCACTAAGTTGGACAGGTTGTGGTGCATATATTTTTAAACTCACGTGTCAAATGCTTAACCAGTTCTGGGGACATGGTAAGGGCCCAGAAATTTTTATTTT